TGGTCTGCATGAAGTGCCAGCAGATGGCAAAGATAAGGTTGTAGAAAGAAAGCACTAGTTGTTCTTAAGAAATGGAATCAAGAAGTTGAAGGCAGGTTTGCAGGTGTGTTGCTATATACTCTAGAAATCATTACAAAGTGTTTATGAAGCAGCAATTTTTCTGGCCACCACAATCACAGGAACTGCTGTCAGGTATGTGTTCACATGATGTTAGTTCATAAATATGACCACCGAAAAGAGTCAGGATGTCTTGCACAGGGGAAGAAAGCACATGTGAAATGGTCTTTTTGATATATTCCTCAATGCATTTATTTTTATATATTCTTCAAAGGTATCTTTTCCCCAACAAGCAAACATCTTTTCTATTTGCCCTTAATCAAAAGAGAACTAAGAAATAAATATTACTAATGTTTCACCAATACCAATGAAGTTACTCTAAGGATGAAATCCTATAGCCTCCTGACATTGTCTAGAGAAGCAGAGGAATTTTTTGGAGCCCTACTGCCTAGATTCTAAAACTCTGAAGATGGAACTCTGAAAGCCAGGTGCCCACCTTAGCCCCCTTTGCAGCTAGCACAGAAAAAACCACTCCGGCTGCATCTCCAAATATCCAATTGGTCTCAGAGGACAAAATGGGACATGCCAGGGGCTGAAGTGGTGTTCAGGCCAATGACTTATGCCCATTCCTACTGGTGCTCCAGCCTCCTTCCCTCTCCATCATAGGTACTACATCTAGATACCCCAAAATGGTCATCTATGAGGTGGCTAAATCATATTCAGATTTAGTATACTGGGAGTTGTTCTTGATGGTTTACCATATCTGTATTTTTAATGATAGACAGATGCTTCTATAGTAAGATTAGGAGAGCAACCTTATGAATCCAGAAATTCAATCCAGAACCATCAACAGTATTTTACACCCATATTCAAAACATCTACATTTTCACTATCTGTCTACTGTACCAATAGTGTACCTGCACAATATTTCACGTGGATAACTGTACAAACGTAGTAGCAAATGCAGTGCCAATTAGCAGCATCCTAAACTTTTGTTTGCTGCTGTGTCATATTTTAGCATTTTCACAATTGACATATGTACTAGTAAACCCCAAGGCAACTTAACTTTTAGTCTCCAATGAGTCACTTCTGAATACTGTGTAAAGACAACAGCACAAAACCAAGAACAAAACGCATGAGTCAATATAGCCTTCTCATGTTATTTGCAGATTAATGAAAACTAAACAAATTGAAAAATCAGTAGAAGGGCCTTCTAAGGCCACCAGCCCCCTTTCAACATCCAATTAGACAAGACAGATAATAGTAATCCCCTCTCCCTAGCTCTCCTGCACAGACACCATAGTCACCGACAAAGTCAAATCAGCAGTAGTAAAAATGTAACATTATGCCTGTTTGAATTACTTCACAGGCAGAATTGAGCCCTGGTGCTAATATTTCTTAGAATAATTTTCATATATCTGCATATCAATGGTAATCAAACACATAGTAACCCAGTGCAGATTGTACAGTTATGTTTTGGCAAATAAAAAGAGACATGGCAAACTGATACAAGAACTACCATGAAAAGGCTAGGAATCCTCTAAAATTAGAAGTATGTCTCTACAGTGGTTATAGAACAAAGATCTAAACAAACCGTTAAACACTTAGGCAAAGGTATGCCAAACATTTCTCAAACATTCTTAAAGCCTCACAAAGAATCAACCTTTTCTTCTAAATCAGGACTAGGCTAAATATTTTATTTGGCTCTTCAAGATGGACAGAGAAGTTAGGCATTAGGTCCAAATCAGTTCTTGGACTTGCATCAAACACTATCCTGTCATTGATCCAGTCAGTCAAAACAATGTTTCCATCTAAAACTTTTAATGTTTATGTCCTGAAACAGCTAATTGAATCCAGTTTTTCCAATCAATTTTTCACAGTCTATACTGTCAAGTTCTGAGATAATGAATTTGAAATAAATATATATTACACACTGATTACAGATTTAATCCAGGACAAAAGCAAATATGAAAGCCAAAACAGAAGACTACTAGTTTCATAAAATCTAAAAATATTAAAACTAAACAGTCAAGGTCCTCTATAATAAGCCCCACTGAGTCCAGTTAGCTTATTCCTAGTTTAGGAATTACAGGATTGCAGCCTAAAAGTATTTTAATGCTAAATAAGTTAAGCATTTATATGTTCCTGAAGTATGTTTTAGACCCAAATTGGTAATTAAAACCACAAAGTACATGAGATTAAGATATTCCAAAGCAAGCCTTGAAAAAAATCACAGCCTACCCCTATGGAAGCTTACTCATAGGTCCTGCTGAGTATAATGCAGCTTCCTTCTAAAAATAAGAAGTCCATTGGATTGCAGCCCTAGCCTCTTCTTTTTAAGTACTGAAGACATTTTTCTCTCAAGCATATAAAATTTCCTTTTAAAAAAAATTCAAATGTAAACTGCATCATTAGCCAAAGCATAAATGTTCCATCTTAACAGTATCATCTCTTTTGCCTGGTTATTCTGTTTTCTTCTTTTTTAACAGCAGCAGCAGCAAGTTCTGTAATACTGTATTATTCAAATAACTTTATTGATAATTGTCTCAAAGAATAACTACTTATTCGTAGTTCCAATTGTTCCAGTTTTACAAATCTAAAATTTAAACTGTCATTCACCCAAGGCTCCCATTCTGCTAGATCACACTAGCTAAAAAGAGAACAGCGCTTAATCAACTGTTCTCTTATATTTTTGCCGTTAAACAAAAATACAGTTAAAAACACCATTATTCCTTCTTGTCTCTGACTAGGAAACACTGCTATGGATGCCTCATAGGACATAATCACGAAGGAGAACCCTACTTCTTAATATATAAGGAGAAATGGAAACTGAAATAACAGTGCATAGGCCAAAGACAACTGCCTAATACCTATTCTCCCCTCAAGGCATCACCCGTTTTTTAAGTTTAAAAGTAGGTTTCTGCTCTGTAGCTTAACAAGCATCAACAACAGAATCACAACTATTTTACATTCCAATCTAGCACACTTGTTTTAAGAACCTATTTCTAAGGAGCTTGCCAGAATGCTATAAGCAAAATCTGAATAACAGCACAATGTAAACAATTCTGAGGATTATAGATTATAATTAAAAATAAGTTTGGGCTGCACTCCTATGCACGCTTACCTAGGAATAAACACGAAACAGGGAGGTTTGGATCCAATGTCAGGTGAGTGGAAGTCTACTCATATAACAAGGCTCCCACTTAGACAATGGGACTTCCTTATCCTCTCCCCCCAGCCCTATGCTGGCAGAATACCTTTAGATCTAACCACAAGGACTTATTTCTAAGTAAACAATCATACAATTACACTGCAGGTAAGTTAAAATGAATTCCATTCCCTACAAGTTGTTAAGATTCTTTTTAAGTTACAGTAAAAGAACTACATGCACTTATTTAAAGTTAAAATGACCATATGTACTGAAATTGTAACTTTTCAGAACATGCAAAAATATACTATCAATTTTGCAATCTCTCTAAATTAACTTGTTAATGACCAATAATTCTATGCCTTTGCATTTTATACATATTTCCCCTAAGGCTGCAATCTCACATTTAATTGGAAGTCCTATTAAAATATGCATAAGATTGAGTGCTATCTGTTTTGCTTAAAGCAGAAGTAAACTACAAGATTAAAATGCAATAGCATCTAGCAAGCTACACATTTTCAGATTTCTTTCCATGTGCAAAACTCTTCTAGTTCAGATAAAGACTGATTAAAGTGCTCCTTTTTTTAACCTAGAAGAGTAATATTCTCAACAGTCCACAACAGTAGGAATTATATCAAGATAACCTTACACAACCTTCAGTACGGAAGTAGGTTCAAGCTGGGCAGCACAGCAGATCAAAACAAAGGGTACAAAGAGGCTGACAACTGAACCAAGTTTATGCTCCAAGAAGGGGGAATAAACTATTTTCTGGCCTTCTCTGTTTTGGAATCTATAGTGACCCTTCAGTGACATCAACTTCCAGCATCCCAAAGTGCAATATTTGATTTCACATATTATAATCTATTTTAGTGCATTTAATTAATTCCCCTAAATCCTGAAAATATTAGAATTGGAGATGGGATGAAAACATCAGAAGGAAAGCCTGTCCCGTACACAATTGATTGCTCATTCTGGAGCTCAGTCTGATTGCTCAGAACTACTTCCATAACAGCGTTGAACATTTGCAACGATCAGCCCTTCAAAGCTTTGCCTGGCAAACCATTTCGTTTAAGATGTTCACACATTTCTTTTAGTGGCAGACACAAATACCGCGGCACTCCTTCCCCCCACCTCGCCCTCCTTTTATTGTCGAGATCGTGTGCGTATGTGTGTGTGTGGGGGGGGGATGTGGGGTGAAGAGTTTACTTTTCTCCTGAGGCCTGAAAGCTTTCGAAAGAGTCCTTCAGATCACAGGTTCAATCTCAAATACACACGGAAGCCGTTCGCTTGCTCGTTCCCAGCCAGTTGAGTCCCCCGGCTTGGGGCTCCACTCCACCGTCTCTCTCCCCCTTTCTTTCTGAAGCAAGCAGTACTGCAAAATGCCCTCTTCTTCCCCTCAACCCAATGGGCCCTTGGCTCGCTCACCCTCTCGATTCAGTGCAGAACATGAGCCCCACAACTTCAGTTTATCGCCACCTCAAAGCCTTTCCATCTCTGTTCCCTGCCTCAAATGGCTTCTGCATATTCAAAACAAACTCCTGGTTTCCTCACAACATCAACACTCCTAATCTAACACTCCTTCCTCCCCACCACAAACACACGCATACACAAAAGAAGAGACGGCAAAGGGGCTCTTTCCCCTTCCCTCATCCCCCTTTCCTTCCCGATTATTTTGTAAAGCCAACCCGCGCCCCCGGGGAAGCACCCAGCATACAAGGCCCCGCGCCTACCCACCCCCTCCCCGGCTTCCCGTGTAACGTGTGCACGAGCGGCGACCCCGCTAAGCCCTTCTCACCTGTCAGTCGGAGCTTGACGGGCCCGTTCCTCCGGGCCCCTTGGTTGGACATGACACCGCGGAGACCCCCGAGAGCGCGGCGCTGCCTTCCCCGGAGCCCTCCCTGCCGGGACGGGGACGGGGACGGGGACGGGGGAGGGCAGGCGGGGAGCTGAGGGGGCGGGAAGCGGCCCGCGAATGGAGGCGGGAGGGACGCGGCTCAGAGGAGCGGCGGCGACGGCGGCGGCGGCCGCCGGAGGAAGAAAAGCCCGGATGTGCCCAGTGTCGCCATGAGCTGGGCTCGCGTCAGGAGGAGGAGAGGAGGAGGCGGAGGCGCCGCCGCCGCCTCCCCTTTCTTTCCGCCCCCTGCTCGAGGCTCGGGCGGTGAGTACAACAAAGCAGGAGACAGAGGAGCGCCTGGCCCGGGGGGGGGGGTGCTCACACAAAGGGTGCGCGGCCCTCCGCCGCCGTGGGAGCAGATGCCTCCGATCAGCTGCCCTGGCACGCCGCTTCCTGCTCCTCGCGGAGGAGAGGGCGGCGGCGGGATCCCCCTCGCGACGGCCCGTGGCCCTTCTGCACGGGGGGACCGGCCCCGCAGTGCACGCGGGCGCCTGTCCTCAAGCGAGCTGCAGCGCGCGCATTACGGGGCTTCCCGTTCGGGGCCGCCGCGCTTTCACCTGAACTCGGTGAGACTTGCTCACGGGTTCCGTGGGACTTGCTTTTGAACCTTGGAGGTAGGTTTTACCACACCTACTTCTAGGCACAGGAAATGTTGCCTTTTACCCTTTCTCTTTATTCCTTTTCTTTCTCTGATCACTAAACGGGCTGAAGGGAAGCGCCTCTTAAACACATGCAGCAACCTGATGGTAAGTATGGTTCAAGCAAATAGCTAGATGCGTGTATCTAGAGGCCTAGTTCCATCTAATATCAAGGAGCTGCTGAGTGGGATAGATGCCCACCAGCTTTCACAAGTGCAAGGCATGCCATCAACTGCAGTTTCAGATACATATTCAGCCTGGTAATAATGAAATTGTGTGGCCCTCCTGTGTTCTTTGGATCAACAGCACACTCCAAAATCCAGCATTCATCCTATACTTTGCTAAGTATTTGGATCAGACTGCCAAGCTGCATGTTGCTTGCTTGGGCCTGGCAGAGGATGCAGTATGGTAAACAGGTGAGAAGAACTACTGAAGTGAGAAGGGCCATAGTTCAGTGGTAGAGCACATGCCTTGCACAGAGAAGGTGTTCAGTTCAGTCCTCCCATCTCCAGTTTAAAGATCTTAAACAGTAGCAGAGCCACATCTGAGACTTGAAAAGACCAGGAGTACTTGGCTAGACACACCACTTATCAACATACCCATCCACTCTAATTCCTTTGATTCATGACATTTAAATTCCATTTAGCTAGCAGAAGTACTTTGGCAAATGTTTGGTTATAGAAATGGGTTGAATGTTGTCCAAGCCTTGCAGGTAAATTTAGTTTTAATGTAATATATTTTCAGGGATATTAGTGTTATCACTGTCTGGGGAGATTCATTTTAGAACTAAGGCTGAGAAATCGGAAGCAATCGCAACATCCATACTGTTTATTTACATATTTAGTAACATAGCCTTGTGTTAAAAATAATGCATGCATCTGCCATTGCTTCAGAAGAAATACATTCATTTTCACCCAAAATAAAAGAACTGTAGCTTTCATTATGATTCCACCCCCCCCCCCCCACATATTCCTTCTAGATACAGGGATTGTCAAAATTTTTGGGAATATATTTTAATCCCCGTAAGAGGTCTAATGTACCTTGGGGGCACTCTACATTTTTCAACTGTATTAAAGAATCTTAAAAACTGAGTCTCTTAGATCATCCTGACCTTTAATGAACCATGATGCAGATAAATACCAAAACGTGTACTAACATGCACATTCCTCCCCATATGTCACAGGAGAGCCCAATCAGAAGATCTACCAAGCTAGTTACTTGGAAGGAGTTACTATTACTCCGCCTACATGAGGTGGCATGTGGCTAACATCAAACACCTGCTGGACTATTGATTAAGTGGATTATATTATAAATTCAATTATAAATAAAAAAATTAATAAAGTTCTTGTGATTTTTTGACAAATGCTCTTTCAGATATTTTTATAGTTATATCATCTCTGCTAATGTCTTTAAGCTACTAATTCTGGAGGCATCCTATTGAAAATTACTGTAGAGCAGGTAGTTTATGAATGTCATAGGTTTACAAGCTATGCAAGTAAGCAGGGAGAAAAACTGGCATTGTTTCAGATGGCTCAAAGAACCTGCCTCGTTAAAGCATTAAAAGGAAGAACCACATTAGGTAACAACTCCTGAGTTTGGATAAAATTTGGAAACCATTGACACCTATATTGTCTCAGAATGGGGTGCATGTGGAAAGGCAGAGATTAATGTACTCTTACAATGATCCCACTTTGTTTAACTTCCAGGGAGCTGAAAGTGGAGTTGAGATTCCCATGGACAAAAAAAGGTCCTCTATCCTATAGTCATGTGCCCTCAACTGGTTATGCTTATGTTACTGTAAATCAAAAGTTACTTCTCCTGGCTACCATTAGAGGTCACTTCTCACACTATAGAAATAATAAATATGACTCTGACCACTGTGTGCATTCTCTGCTATAGATGAGACAAGCCATGTTATATTTAAGGGATGGTAAGTGTAGTATACTTTGTGTATTCACAATTGGCCCTAGACCTTAGTGAGCACCTGCATTATAAAAGGAAAAAATATGCACATTACACCTCATATATATTACACTGGTGTGTATACCAGTTAATCCCCTGTATCAGTTATCTGGCCTCTATATGATTATTCTTTCAGGGCATTATCCTATGCCTGTTTAGACAGACAAAAGTTGTACAATTCCCAGCATTCTTCAGGCAGGCCATTTCCAGCATTCCCCAAACACACACAGGATTGCATTCTTAATCAGGTAAACAGTTTGAAAGAAATCAGATTTTCAAACAGTGCTGCAGAGTTAGGTTAAACTCCATAGCATGACCAATGTAATTGAAATTTATACATATACATATTAGCTGTCAGTCATAAAGGTGATACTAGCTTTTCTACCTAATAATAAGAATTGCCTGCTTCCTAAACTGCAATCCAGTGAAAAGAAATATTTGAGGGTTTATTAAAGAAACAATTTAGCATTCTAGGTTTTAATACCAAGGAAAATATGCAGTTGCCCAGAGGACTACTTTTTGGCACTTGCACATTAAATAAATATGTTTTATCAAAAAATACTTTTACACTGATGGAACTAGATCAATAAAATCCAGAATTTTGGAAAATAAATTGTTGTTAGTCGCGAAGTCATGTCCGACCCATCGCGACCCCATGGACAATATTCCTCCAGGCCTTACTGTCCTCCACCATCCCCCGGAGTCAACTTAAGTCCACTTAAGCCCACACCAACTGCTTCAGTGACTCCATCCAGCCACCTCATTCGCTGCCGTCCCCTTCTTCTTTTGCCATCTATTGTTCCCAGCATTAGGCTCTTCTCCAGTGAGTCCTTCCTTCTCATTAGGTGACCAAAGTATTTGAGTTTCATCTTCACTATCTGGCCTTCTAAAGCGCAGTCCAATTTGATCTTCTCTAAGACTGACTGGTTTGATCTCCTTGCAGTCCAAGGGACTTGCAGGACTCTTCTCCAGCACAGGCCTCAATTCTTCGGCACTCAGCCTTCCTTACGGTCCAACTTTCACAGCCATACATTGCAACTAGGAAAACCATAGCCTTGATTATACACACTTTTGTTGGCAGGGTGATGTCTCTGCTTTTTAGTATGCTGTCTAGATTTGCCATAGCTTCCCTCCCAAGGAGCAAGCGTCTTTTAATTTCTTGGCTGCAGTCTCTGTCTGCGGTGATCTTATAGCCCAGGAAAATAAAATCTGTCACTACCTCCATTTCTTCCCTATCTATTTGCCAGGAAGTGAGAGGACTGGATGCCATGATCTTAGTTTTCTTAACGTTGAGTTTCAAGCCAACTGTTGCGCTCTCCTCCTTCACCCGCATCAAGAGGCTCTTTAGTTCCTCTTCACTTTCTGCCATTAGAGTGGTATCATCTGCATATCTGAGGTGGTTGATATTTCTCCCGGCAATCTTAATTCCAGTTTGTGATTCATCTAGCCCTGCCTTTTTCATGATGTGCTCTGCATGTAAGTTAAATAGGCAGTGCGACAGTATACAGCCTTGCCGAACTCCTTTCTCGATTTTGAACCAATCAGTGGTTCTGTGTCCAGTTCTAACTGTTGCTTCTTGACCCGCATATAGGTTTCTCAAGAGACAAATAAGATGGTCTGGTACTCCCATCTCTTTAAGAACCTGCCACAATTGGTTGTGATCCACACAATCAAAGGCTTTAGCATAGTCAATGAAGCAGAAGTAGATGTTTTTCTGGAACTCCCTAGCTTTCTCCATGATCCAGCATATGTTGGCAATTTGATCTCTAGTTCCTCTGCCTCTTTGAAATCCTGCCTGTTCTTCTGGCAGTTCTCGGTCCACATACTGCTGGAGCCTAGCTTGTAGGATTTTGAGCATTACTTTGCTAGCATGTGAAATGAGTGCTATGGTGTGGTAGTTTGAACAATTTTTGGCATTGCGCTTCTTTGGAATTGGAATGTAAGCTGACCTTTTCCAATCCTGCGGCCACTGTTGAGTTTTCCAAGTTTGCTGGCATATTGAGTGTAGCACTTTTACTGCATCGTCTTTTAAGATTTTGAATAGCTCAGCTGGAATACTGTTACCTCCATTAGTTTTGTTGTTGCTCAGACTTCCTAAGGCCCATTTGACTTCTAGGATGTCTGGCTCATGGTCAGTGACCACCCCATCGTGGTTGTCAGGGACGTTAAGCTCTTGTATAGTTCTTCTGTGTAATCTTGCCACCTCTTCTTAATCTCTTCTGCCTCTGTTAGGTCCCTGCCATTTTGGTCCTTTATCATGCCCATCTATGCATGAAACGTTCATATCTCCAATTTTCTTGAAGAGATCTCTGGTCCTCCCTATTCTATTGTTTTCTTCTATTTCTTTGCACTGTTCATTTAAGAAGGCATTCTTATCTCTTCTAGCTGTTCTCTGGAATTCTGCATTCAATTGGGTGTATCTTTCTCCCTTGTCTTTCACTTCCCTTCTTTCCTCAGCTATTTGTTAAGCTTCCTCAGACAGCCATTTTGCTTTCTTGCATTTTTTTTCCTTTGGGATGGTTTTAGTGGCTACCTCTTGTACAATGTTGCAAACCTCCATCCATAGTTCTTCAGGCACTCTGTCTATCAGATCTAATTCCTTAAATCTATTTGTCATCTCTACTGTATATTCATCAGGGATATGATTTAGGTCATACCTGAGTGGCCTAGTGTTTTTCCCTACTTTCTTCAATTTATGCCTAAATTTTGCAACAAGAAGCTCATGATCTGAGCCACAGTTAGCTCCTGGTTTTGTTTTTACTGACTGTATAGAGCCTTTCTCCATCTTTGGCTGCAGAGCACATAATCAGTCTGATTTCTGTGTTGACCGTCTGGTGATGTCCATGTGTAGAGTCGTCTCTTGGGTTGTTGGAAAAGAGTGTAGAGTTGTCGCTTGGGTTGTTGGAAAAGAGTGTTTGTTATGACCATCGTATTCTCTTGACAAAATTCTACCAGCCTGTGCCCTGCTTCATTTTGTACTCCAAGGCCAAACTTGCCTGTTATTCCAGTTATCTTTTGGCTTCCTACTTTAGCATTCCAATCCCCCATGATGATAAAGACATCATTTGTTGGAGTTAATTCTAGAAGGTGTTGTAGGCCTTCATAGAACTGGTCAACTTCAGCCTCTTCAGCACCAGTGGTTGGGGCATAGACTTGGACTATTGTGATGTTGAATGGTTTGCCTTAGATTCGAACTGAGATCATTCTGTCATTTTGGAGACTGTATCCCAGCACTGCTTTTCCTACTCTTTTATTGACTATGAAAGCTACTCCATTTCTTCTGAGGGATTCTTGCCCGCAGTAGTATAGCTGATGGTCGTCTGAATTAAAGTCACCCATTCCTGTCCATTTTAGTTCACTGATTCCTAAGATGTCGATGTTCAGTCTTGTCATCTCTTGTTTGACCACATCCAGCTTGCCTTGATTCATGGATCTTACATTCGCTACTAGTACTAGCCCTCTGCTCTTCCCCAGTAGCATTTTGGACACCTTCTGACCTGAGGGGCTCGTCTTCTGGCGTCATATGTTTTTGCCTTTTGGTACTGTCCATGGGGTTTTCATGGCAAAGATACTGGAGCGGCTTGCCATTTCCTTCTCCAGTGGATCACGTTTTGTCAGAGCTCTCTGCTATGACCTGTCCGTCTTGGGTGGCCCTGCATGGCATAACTCATAGCTTCATTGAGCTACGCAAGCCCCTTCACCATGACAAGGCAGTGATCCATGAAGGGGGGGAAATAAATTAACGAAATCTAAATTAAATTTAGAAGAAGACCTCTTCTCACTCATCCCAGAGTGTAAGACAAACTTAAACTGCAACACACCTGATTTAGGCTGGACACCAGGGAAAACTCCCTAACTGTCAGAACAATATGACAGTGGAAACATTTGCTGAGAGAGTTTGTGGGCTTTCCTATGCTAGAGATGTTCAAGGCAAAACTAGGCAATCATCTAAGAGGGATGGGGTGACCTGCATCCTACATCAGCATGGGGTTGGACCTTTCTTGGCCCTCTCCAACCCTAGTATTCTATGGATCTATGAAGTCTCTGAAATAATTTCAAGGTTATTGAACAAACTAAGTATAAATTAATGAAAATTAAGTGATACACATTCTAGGTGTTTAAAAATAGCTGCAAATACCTGTGTTTCATCCACTTGCCTTGTCTATTGCATTGATTACCATTTTTATGCCATAGCTTGGTGGGAGATCCCCAGGATCAATCTCTGGCATTTCCAGGTTGGGTTGGAAAGATTTCTGCCTGAAAACCTGGAAAGGAGCTGCCAGTCATCATCGACAGTACAAGGCTAGATGGCTCAGTGGTCTGATTCAGAACGAGGCAGCCTCATATATTCCTGTGTTTGAAAAGCAGGTAACACGTTTTACCAGAAACATAAAGAGACTA